ATAAAGAATTTTAAAAGCAGCAAGAAAAAAGAATACAGTTACATACAAGGGAAATCCTATAAGGCTATCAGCAAATGTTTCAACAAACTTTGCAGGCCAGGAGTAAAATGATATATTCAAAGTGGTGAGAGGGAAAAATCTGCAGCCAAGAATACTCTATCCAGAAAGGCTATAATTCAGAATAATAGGAGATACAAAGAGCTTCTCAGACCAACGAAAACTAAAGGAGTCATGACCAATCAACTAGCCCTACAAGAAATATTAAGGAGGACTCTCTGAGTGGAAAGGAAAGACCATAAGTGAAAGTATGAAATAGAAAACACAAAAGCAGTAAAAATAAGTGTATCTATAAAAATCAGTCAAGGGATTTACAAAATAAAAAGACATAAAATATGACACCATATACCTAAAACTTGGGGAGAGAGGAGTAAAGAATGGGTTCCACTTAAGCAATCCTCAACTTAATATACACTGCTATATGTATATGGGAAGATGTTATATAAAAACCTAATGGTACCCAAAAATCAAAGACCAGTAAAACCTGTGAAAGAGAGCAAGAGAAGAAAGGATCAGGGAAAAACCACAAAAACAACCACAAAACAAGTAACAAAATGGCAACATATACATATCTATCAATAATTACTTTGAATACAAATGGACTAAATACTCCAAAAAAAAAAAAAAAAGACATGGTGACAGAGAAGATAAAAAAATAAAGAGCCATCTATATGCTGTCTATAAGAGACTCATTTTGGAGCTAAAGACACACGCAGATTAAAAGTGAGGGGATGGAGAAACATTTATCATGCAAATGGATGTCAAAAGAAAGCTGGGGTAGCAATACTTGTAACAGAGAAAATAGACTTTCAAGCAAAGACTGTAATAAGAGACAAAGAAGGGCACTATGTAATAATAAAGAGGACAATCCAAGAAGATATAACAACTGTAAATATTTATGTACTCAACCCAAATACATAAAGCAGTTAATAAAAAACTTAAAGGAATTAATTGATAGTAATACAATAATAGTAGGAGACTTTAATACTCCACTTATGTCAGCTGACAGATCACCCAAACAGAAAATCAACAAGGAAACAGTGGCTTTGAATGACATACTGGATTAGATGGACTTAACATTCCATCCTAAAACAGCAAAATACACATTCTTTTCAAGTCAAGTGCACACAAATATTTTCCAAAAGAGATCACATATTAGGCTATAAAACAAGTCTCAACAAATTAAAAAACATTTAAGTGATGCTATACATCTTTTCTGACCACAATGCTATGAAACTAGAAATCAACCACAAGAAAAAATCTGGAAAGACCTCAAATACATGGAGGTTAAATAATATGCTACTAAACAATGAATGGGTCAAACAAGAAATCAAAAAAGAAATAAATAATTATCTGGAAACAAATAAAAATAAAAACAAAAGGATCCAAATATTTGGGATGCAGCAAAGATGGTTTGAAGAGGGATGTTTATAAACAATAGAGGCCTATGTCAAGAGGCAAGAAAAAAAAGAATCAAACCTAACCTTACACCTAAAGGAGCTAGAAAAAGAATAACAAACAAAACTTAAAACCAAGAGAAGGAAGGAAAGAAGAAAGACTAAAGCAGAAATAAATGACAGAAAAACTAATAAAACAGTGGAACAGACCAATGAAACCAGAAGCTGGTTTTTGAAAAGATCAACAAAATTTATAAACCTACCGGCAGATTCATCAAAAAAAAAAAAGACAGAAAAAAGAGAGGAGGACTCAAACAAAATCACAGATTAAAGAGGTGAAGTAACAACCAACACCACAGAAATACAAACAATTAAATGAAAATATTATGAAAAATTGTATGCCAAAAATTGGACAACCTAGAAGAAATGGATAAATTCCTAGAAACATATAATCTACCATAACTGAATCAGGAAGAAATAAAAAATTTGAACAGACCGATTACCAGCAAGGAAATTGGATCAGTAAACAAAAACTCCCAACAAACAAAAGTCCAGGACCAGACAGCTTCAGAGGTGTATTCTACCAAACATTTCTTCTCAAACTATTGCAAAATAATAGAAGAGGAAGATAAACTTCAAAATTCATTCTATGAGGCCAGTATTACCATAATACCAATACCAAATAAAGGCACCAAAAAAAAAAAATAAGTGTATCCAAAAAAGTGTATCCATAAAAAGCAGTCAAACCCCCCCCCCAAAAAAAACCCCAAACAGAATTATAGGCCAATATTGCTGATAAACATAGATGCAAAAGTTCTCAATTAAATACTAGCAAACCAAATCCAACAATACAGTAAAAAAAGCCATTTACCACAATCGAGTGGGATTTATTCTCAGGATGCAAGGGTGGTCCAATATTAAAAAATTAATCAACATGATACATCACATCAATAAGAGAAAGGATAAAACCATTTCAATAGAAGCAGAAAAAGCATTTGACAAAGTACAACATCATACATTCTAAAAACCCTCAACAAAGCAGGTTTAGAGGGAACATACCCTAACATAATAAAGGCCTTATATGAAAAACCCACAGCAAACATCATATTCATTTGGGAAAAACTGAGAGCTTTTCACATATGGTCAGGAACAAGACGAGGATGCCCACTCTCATCACTTTCATTCAACACAGTACTGGAAGTCCAAGCCATAGCAATCAGACAACAAAAAGAAATAAAAGGCATCCAAATTTTTAAGGAAGAAGTAAAACTTTCACTATTTGCAGATAACATGCTACAATATATAGAAAACCATGAAGACTTCATCAAAAAACTACTAGTTCTGATAAATGAATTCAGTAAAGTCACAGTATACAAAAATCAATGTACAGAAATCTGTTGCATTTCTTTTTTTTTTTCTTGTTTCAAGTTTTTATTTAAACTCTAGTTAGTTAACATACATTTCTATACACTAATAATGAAGCAGAGAAAGGAGAAATTAAGAAAATGATCCCATCTATAACTGCACCAAAAATAATAAGATAATTAAGAATAAACTTAACCATAGAAGTGAAAGATCTGTACTCTGAAAACTATAAGACACTGATGAAAGAAAGTGAAGATGACACAAAGAAAGGGACAGACATTCCATGCTCATGGATTGGAAAATCAAATATTGTTAAAAAGTCTATACTACCCAAAGCAATCTACACATTAAATGCAATCCCTATCAAAATACCAACAGCATTTTTCACAGAACTAGAACAAGCAATTCTAAAATTTGTAGGGAACAACAAAAGAATCCAAAAAGCTAAAGCAATCTTGAAAGGGAAAAGCAAAGCTGGAGACATCACAATTCTGGACTTCAAGCTATACTACAAAGCTGTAGCAATCAAAACAGTATAGTACTGGCACAAAAACAGACACATAAATCAATGGAACAAAGTAGAAAACCCAGAAATAAACCTGCAATTATATGGTCAATTATTCTTTGACAAAGGAGGAATGAATATACAATGGGAAAAAAAGTCTCTTCAACAATGGTGGTAGGAAAACTGGACAGCTACATGCAAAAGAATGAAGCCGGACCACTTTCTTACACCATACACAATAATAAATTCAAAATGGATTAAAGACCTAAATGTAAGACCTGAAACCATAGAAGTCCTAGAAGAGATCCCAGGCAGTAATTTCTCTGACACCGGCCATAGCAACATTTGTCTAGATAGGTCTCCTGAGGTAAGGGAAATAAAAACAAACTACTGGGACTACATCAAAAGGAAAAGCTTCTGCACAGTGAAGGAAACAATCAAAAAAACTAAAAGGCAACCTATTGATGGGAGAGGATGTTTGCAAATGACATATCTGATAAAGGGTTAATATGAAAAATACGTGAAGAACTGACAGAACTCAACACCCAAAAAACAAATAATCCAATTAAAAAATGGGCGGAAGACATGAAGAACAGACATTTCTCCAAAGAAGACATACAGATGGCCAACAGACACATGAAAATATGCTCAACATCCCTCATCATCAAGGAAATTAAAATCAAAACTACAATGAGATATCACCTCGCACCTGTCAGAATGGCTAAAATAAAAAACACAAGAAACAGGTGTTGGCAAGGATATGGAGAAAAAGGAACCTTCATGCACTGTTGGTGGGAAAGCAAACTGGTGGAGCCACTGTGGAAAATAGTACGGAGATTCCTCAAAAAGTTAAAAATAGAACTATCCTATGATCCAGTAACTGTACTACTGGGTTATTTACCTCCAAAATACAAAAACACTAATTCAAAGGGATACATGCGCCCCTATGTTTACTGCACCATTATTCACAATAGCCAAATTATGGAAGCAGCCCAACTGTCCACTGATAATATCAATGGATGAAGAAGATGTGGTGTATATATACAATGAAATATTATTCAGCCATAAAAGGGAATGAAATCTTGCCATTTGCTACAACATGGCTGGAGCTAGAGAGTATCATGCTAAGCAAAGTAAGTCAGTCAGAGAAAGACAAATAACATATGATTTCACTAATATGTGGAATTTAAGAAATAAAACAAGTGAGTAAAGGGGAAAAAAAGAGAGAGAAAAATCAAGAAATAGACTCTTAACTACAGAGAACAAACTAATGGTTACCAGAGGGAATATGGGAGAGGGGATGGGTGAAATAGGGGATGGGGATTAAAGAGTACACTTATCATGATGAGCACTATGTACAGAATTGTTAAATCACTATACTGTACACCTGAAAATAATATAACACTGTATGTTGACAACACTGGAATTAAAATTTTTAAAAACCTATAAATAAAATAAGATGACAGAAAAATAGTACTTCAAGAATCTATACATATGTATATTACATATGTAAAAGACATATCTTAATTTATATATAAAGTTGGTGATAAGATAAATGTGTGATTTAGATTCTTTCCTTTCTCGTTATCTGAATTCTTTATACAGGAATATAAGTTACATTTTAATCAATATTTTTGTTCTAAATGCTATAATCAGCATTAGTGAAAAATTCTTACTTGTAGGCTTCTATGCTTGTTTCATCACTATGAATGTCTTGCTCTATGTCTTGTCTAATTTGTTTAGCATTCAATTTGGCATTTTCAACATCTTCTATAGCTTCTTCAAGTTCTTCATGAATTTGTTTGTATAACTCCATTACCTAGAAATGAAAAATATTTTTGTTAATACACGCACTTAATGGGTAATTAAAAGAATCAGGCAAGAGAAAAATCAGAGAAAGGACTTAAATTTAAAGTAGTTTTGATCTAAAGAAAAAGTTCTTTACATCGATTTTTCTTCCCATATTAATCTGTTTAGCACAGTAAAGTTTTAGGTTTCCACTAGTCTGAGAAGCATTAATACTAGCATTAATACTAGCAATGTATAAAAGTTATTGAAGAAAAGTTCAATATTACAGGTGACATAAGCAAAATAATTATTTTTTAACCTACAAAAGAATTGCTACTTTTTATTGTTTTTATTGTTGAAATAATACTTAATGGTAGAAAAATCAGAAAACACAGATGAGAAAATAAATGAAATCAACTATAATCCTCTCAGGAATAACCATTATTACCTTAATGAAAGGGTCCAAAATATTCCATTTTTATTGTTTTTATTAATTATCAAATATCATAAACATTCTCCCTTCCCTCTCCATTTCTCCCTTCTCTGTCAACCTATGGAGAAGAGAGAGTTGTAGTCTGATGTCCTGCTGGAAAGTCAGAGGGAGGGGAGTAGAAGGCAGTAGGGAGTGAACAGTCCCCTCCCCAGTGGGTCAACTGGTGGACTGAAATAAAGCAATTGCTTCCTGAAAGAAGCAATAACGTTCATTAATTTTTCGAATAGCACAGGTAGTAGTAACCTCTACAAGATTATCCTTTAGGCATAGGAATGTAGGGGTATACATTTTAGTAGAGAGCAAGGAGCTCACCAGAATGATAAGCTAAGCAAACAAGAGGTCAGGAAACATAACAGAATTCCTAATATCAAGTATCCCATGTCCAATTTTTCAGCACCTTTAGAAGAGGTAACCTGTAGGCATTGCTGGGGTGATGTTCTCCATGTTGGGAACCAGGTTACATCATATGAGACAAATTCATCTCCAAGGCAAGCTCTTGAGTTGGGTCCGTGTGGCACTGGTATATACTTCCCCCATTGATACTCACTCCAATTGATGTGCATAATACTCTTCTGGCTCTGTGGCGTTATGAGGCTGGGCTGCTTGCAGAATTTGGAGGCAACATAGAGCCTTGGAGCTTGATTTGCAAGTATCTGCAATTTGCAAGTTATGCAGTAGGGCTCAAGCACACTGACTAGAGGCCTTGAGTCCTTTAAGCAATTATTTATTTCAGCAGATCTCTAGCCAGGACCCCAAAACTGAGTCAAGACAGCAGAATAAAATAAAGTTATATGATAAAGGGACTATAAATAAAACACTACATTATACATCCCCTGGCCCCTAGCAATCACTAATCTGTTCTGTTTTATGGATTTATCTATCCTGGATATTTCATATAAATGAAATCATACAGGATGTGATCTTTTGTGTTTGGCTTCTTTATTTAGCATAATGCCTCAAAGTTGATTTGTGTTGTGACATATAACAGTACTTCATTTTTTTAAATTTCTTTCAATGGTATAGATATATCACATTTTATTTAGTCATTAATTAGGTGATGGACATCGGGTTGTTTCCACCTTGGGCTAATACAAACACTGCTGCTATGAACATTTATGTACAACTTTTCCTTTTGTTTTTTTTGATTATCAGTTTTCAATTCTTTGGAGTATATACCTCAGAGTATAACTGATAGAGCATATGGTATTTTGTGTTAAACTTTTTGAGGAAATGCCAGAGTCTCTTCCACAGCATCTGCAACCATTTTACATTTCTACCAGCAAAGTACCACAGTTCCAATTTTTCCACATAGACACTAAAACTTGTTATTTTCTGTGTTATATTTATTCCCATTTGGTTTGCATTTCCCTAATGACTAATCATGTTGAGCATCTATCTTTTCAAATGTTTGCTGCCCATTTGTATGTCTTTGGAGATATATCTATTCAAGTCCTTTGCCCATTTTTAATTTGGTTGTTTGTCTTGGTTGTGGAATTTGAAAGTTCTTTATATATTCTAGGTACTATACCCTTCTCAAGTGTAATTTGCAATATTTTCTCTCATTCTATAGGTTTTTTTTTTTTTTTTACTTTTCTGATAGTATACTTCTTTTTTACTTTTTTTCATTGACATACAGTTACATGCAGTTGACCCACAATGTTAAATTAGTTTCAGGAGTACAACATAGTGATTCAACAAATCCATACATTATGCTGTGCTCACCACAAGTGTAGCTACCATCTGTCACCATACAATGCTATTACAGTATCATTGACTATATTCCCTATGCTGTACCTTTTTTTTCCTTAAGGATTTATTTATTTATCTGAGAAAGAGAGAGAGAGAAAGCATGGGATGGGCAGAGGGAGGAAGGGAGAATCTCAAGCAGACTCTGCACTGAGCATGGAGCTTGACACAGGGCTCAATCTCACGACCCTGAGATCACCACCTGAGACAAAACCAAGAGTCAGACACTTAACTAACTGGGCCATCCAGGCACCCCTACTATGCTGTACCTCTTATCCCAGTGACTTATTTATTCCGTAACTGGAAGCCTGTGCCTCCTGTTCCTCTTTATCCATTTGCCTATCCTTCTACTCCCTCCTCTCTGGCAGCCATCACTTTGTTCTCTGTATTTATAGGTCTATTTCTAGTTTTTGTTTGTTTTTCAGATTCCACACATAAGTGAAATCATACAATATTTGTCTCTGATTTATTTTTTCACTTAGCATTATATCCTCTAGAGGTCCAACCATGTTGGCACAAATGGCAAGATTTTGTCATATTTTATGGCTAAGTAAGAGTCTATTGTAGATACGTATACCACATCTTCTTTATCCATTCACCTATCGATGGACACTGAGGTTGTTTCCATATCTTGGTTGTTGTAAATAATGCTGCAATAAAAAATGGGTGCATATATCTTTCGAATTAGTGTTTTTGTTTTATTTGGGTAAATCCCCAGTAGTGGAATTACTAGATCATATGGAATTTCTATTTTTAATTTTTTGAGGAACCTCCATACTGTTTTCCACAGTAGCTGCACCAATTTACATTCCCACAACAGTGCATATCCTTTTTTTCCATATCCTTGTCAACACTTGCTACTTTTTGTCTTTTTGATTCTAGCTATTCTGAAACGTGCAAGGTGATATCTCACTATGGTTTTGATTTATACTTCCCTGATGATTAGAAATGTTAAGCATCTTTTCATGTATCTATTGGCCATCTGTGTGTCTCTTTGGAAAAATATCTTTCAGGTCCTCTGCCCATCTTTTAATTGTATTACTTATTTTTTTGGTGTTATGTAAGTTCTTGACATATTTTGGATATTAACCTCTCATCAGATATTGATAGTGTCCTTTGATGCATAAAAGTTTTTAATTTTTTTATTGAGCTACAATTAATATACAATAGTTTCAGGTATAAAACATAATGAGTCAATATTTCTATATACTGTGAAATGATCACCACAGTAAGTCTAGTTAACATCCATTGCCATACATAGCTAGAATTTTTTTCTTGTGATGAGAACTTTTAGGATGTACTTTCTTAGCAACTTTTAAGTATGTACTACAATAGTATTAACTATGGTCACCATGCTGTACATTAAATCCCCATGACTTATGTATTTTATAACTAGAAGTTTGTACTTTTTGACTCCCTTTTCATTCACCTTCTAAACCCTGCATTGGGCAACCACCAATCTGTTCCCTGTATCCATGAAATTGTTTTTTTGTTTTGTTTTGTTTTTCTTTTGATTCTACATATAAGTGAGATCATACAGTATTTGTCTTCCTCTGTCTGACTTATTTCACTTAACATAATGCCCTCAAGGTACATCCCTGTTGTTGCAAATGGAAAGATTTTATTTTTTGGGGGGGGCTGAGTAATATTCCATTACACACACACACACACACCCCACATCTTCTTTATCCATTCATCCATTGATGGACAGTTAGGTTGTTTCAGTATCTTGGCTATGGTAAATAATGCAGCAATGAACATGGGGGTGCATACATCTTTTCAATTTGTGTTTTTTCTCCTAATAAATACCCAGAAGTGGAATTGCTGAGTCATATGACAGTTCCATTTTTAATTTTCTGAGAAACCTCCATACTGTTTTCCACAGTGGTTGCACCAATTTACATTCCCAGCAACAGTATGCAAAGGTTCCCTTTTTCCACATCTTTGCCAACACTTGTTACTTCTTGTCTTTTTGATAATAGCCATTCCGACAAGTATGAGATAATCTCTACTGTGGTTTTGATTTGCATTTCCCTGATGAATAGTGATGTTGAGAATCTTTTCATGTACTTGTTGGTTATTTGTATGTCTTCTTTGGAAAAATATCTATTCAGATCTTCCGCCCATTTTTAAATCATATTGTCTTATTTTGGTGTTGAGTTGTATGAAGTTCTTTATTTCGGATATTAACCCCTTATCAAATATATGATTTGCAAATATTTTCTCCCATTCAGTAGATTGTCTTTTCATTTTGTTGATGGTTCCTCTTGTCATGTAGAAGCTTTTAGGTTGATGTATCCCTACTTGTTTATTTTTGCTTTTGTTAGCTTTGCTTTTGGTGTCAAATCCAAAACAGCAAGTAAAATGAATGAACAGTAGCTTGACCTCTAAAACAATGTCAGATTAAAAAACAACCTGCAGGAACTTATACAATGTTTGATACTATTTGAAGAATAATAAAGAAACCATGCACTGTGCTTAAATATACAAATATACATATACATATATACATATACATGTATATATGTATAAAAACATACAAATTTCACCTAGAAACAGATTTTCCTGATAAGGTTGTCTTTGGAGAGTGATGGAGGAAAATGGTTCTGTTGAAAATACAGGACACATTTAACAACTCTATTTACTTTGAAATAATAAAAAATAAAATGAATATGAATTAAATTTGTTCATTTAGTGGCAGGTATAAATAATTTATTTTTCTATAATACAATCCCACAATAGGAGAGTTAAATGTTAATCATTGAAAAGATTTTACAGTTTATTATCATCAACAGTGAAAATAACTGATATATTCTGCTTGCATTCTCTCCCAGCTTGACTTACAACTTCAAAAATTATCATGTTGTTTTAAATCTCCAAAATTGTATTAGTAGGTAGACTAAATATTATTAGTACTCCTAAGTATAAAAGGGAAGATAACACAGTTTAAATGAATATCAATTGACTGTATTATGTGTAGTTTAATAGTTCCTTTGGGAAATAAATAGCAAGTCAATTTTTAGTGAAAATGAAACATTTAAAGATGTTAATTTCTAATAGCTGAAATATTTTTATATCTAAGTAACAATCTATAAAATGCATATCTATTCATTTATTCATTTACCTCAAATTTTTTTGTATAAAATTCTTTCAGAGCTTCAAGTTCTTGGTTCTGTTTTGAGTTAATTAGAGGACCAAGTTTATTCATGTAGTCTATGTCTGCTTGAAGCTTTGCATTAGCTTCTTCTAATTTTGCCTTTTGTTCCTCAAAATGTTTTAGTTGATAAGCTTTATCTTCAAGATGCCATCGTAATTCTGCAATATCTCTCAAATAGGCCTCATGTTCTAGACATACAATAATAACAAAAGAAAATCTGATTTTAAAACAAGAACTCCAGAAAGAAACCTTTATTTGATAATAGAGACATATGAAATACTTTAGATTCAGAAATTACTTATCTGTGAAGCTTACTAAATTTTTTTTTTTTTAAAGATTTTATTTATTTATTTGAGAGAGAGAGAATGAGAGAGAGCACATGAGAGGGGGTAAGGTCAGAGGGAGAAGCAGACTCCCTGCCAAGCAGGGAGCCCGATGCGGGACTCGATCCAGGGACTCCAGGATCATGACCTGAGCCGAAGGCAGTCGCTTAACCAACTGAGCCACCCAGGCGCCCTGAAGCTTACTAAATTTAAGTTATCTTAGTATTGCATTATAAAATATACTGCTTTCATCATTTATTATCAAATGGATTAAAATCTATGTTTTATAAGCTAATAATTGTTTTAGTACAAATCCTGCCTATTACAACCAATGTATATACTGGGTTATGTATAACCACTCTATGAATTACAAAATGAGAGAAACTGCAAGAGTAGAGGCCTTCTAAAATCATCTAGATGTAAAACAATGAGATAGTTATAAATGTCAGAAAGGAAAAAATAAATACTATTTTCTATTGATACAATTATATATCAAAACACAAAAGAATCAACTGAAAATTATTACAAATAGGATAGCTTATATTAAAAATTGCTTATTGTTGTAAGCCACTGTGTTCCAAGGCGATTTATTACAAAGCATTATTGTAGTAAATAACATTAATTCATGTGACTAAACAATGCAAAACAAAATTAGAAGATTTAATATTGTGTTATTGCTGAGATCTTCTTCCACAGTAGAAGCACTCTTGTGAGCATCTCTATGGGACACAGTTATCTTCACACTCCATCCTCTCTGAAAGGTCAATCCCCAGAACACTCTCCTAGACTTCCTTTCACCAGTCTTAACATTCATGTTCTTTCCAACCCCCATTATGCCATCCTTTTTCCTACTTCCCATTTGTATCCCAGGACATCTCTCCTTCAAGGTAATCTGTCTTCACCCTTCCTATATTGAGATTGTAAAACAGTAGCTCCCCAAGTTATGTCAACATACCATTAAAATCCATACATAAAGAGGTCTTTGATTTTTTTCTCTTCCATTAGGTAATCAGTCATTGGGAAGTAGTACCAACAGAGCCATGAATGTAGGGTAAGGAAAAGACAGAGAATCTAAAGAAGCAGGTACAATGAGAGTACCAGGGAAACCTGAGTAATTACTTTAGCTTGGGTGTAATAAATACACATACTGTTTTATTTTTTAAGGAAATACAGCTGTGCATATCTAATTTTATAATTTATAAGTTCATGTAACACCCAATTTCTGATGAAAAACTTATTTCTGATTATATTTTTGGTAGGAAAATGAAAAGACATTTGCTAGATTATTGGCTGCATACTGGGTGCCAGTGGCTGTCATTCTGTGTGTGGGGGGGGTGAGGTGACCAAGTAGAAAGGAAAGTAGTCAAGGGTATAAAACCCCACCCTCACTCTTCTCCATTATCTCTCATGGTCTCTTGCCACTAATTCCCAGTGGTTGAACCAGCAAGAAGACAGATTACAAAAGATATCTTTGATTCAATCCATTATCAATCAGCCTCATGGATCACAAAACAGAAGATACAAGTGTGAGTGGGCTAGTTAGGGGGATTGATGGGTCTGGAGGAGTGACCACAAGATATCTAGAAAAAATTGAATTTCTTTAATATTTTCATTAATTATAAATATGTTTTTTATAAAAATTATTAGAAATCCTATAAACATCATACTTAATATTAAGGCTGTTAAAGAGATTAAAACTTTTCTTGTCACATAAGCTAGAGACTTTGGAAATCTAAAATCTATAAGAATATATAATTCTGTAACCTGTAAAAAAATTATAAAATTTAGAAATTTTATCCTAAATAATATCAATATAAAGGCAATATATTCCTGAAAGCACATCACTTTTCAGGAATATTTTACAAACAGAAGGCACTTAAAAACCATATAGTAATAATGAATTTAAATTTCACTGCATGTGTTAGCTACTTAAATAAAATAAAGCAGATGAACATAAATTTCAGTTTTTAAAGTAGATCTTTAATAGTTTTTTTAAAGACCTTTAGGTAGATCTTTAAATCAAAGATAGCCCAAGCAATAAATTATCAACAATGGCAAGAATATATTCCATCATTGAAAATGCATTTATAAGGTATGTAGAATATGCATGTATGTATCTCAATTTAATTTTATTTTGGCAATTCCTTAAGTAGAACTTCATATAAACCACAAAATACACTATCTACTCTTATAAAGGCCATATGAGATTATATAGAAATTTATCAGCAAAATATTAAATAAAACCAGCTACCACTGACTTTTCTACTACTACTGATAAGGAAAGGCTTCCCAAACATTTTTTAAAAATTGCAAGGGCGTCTGGGTGGCACAGCTGGCTAAGTATCTGACTCTTGGTTTCAGCTCAGGTTGTGGTCTCAGCATTTTAAGATCGAGTTCTGCCTTGGGCTCCACACTCAGCATGGAGTCTGATTCTCTCTCCCTCTCCCTCTGCCTCTCTCGTGCTCTCTCTCTCAAATAAATAAATCTTTTTTATAAAAATTGCAGATGACTCCTTGTGGATGTGAATGTGAATCTGCTCAAGAATCTACTGGGCTCCAGAATTTCCCAGGATGCCTATTCTGGCCCTATTGTACCTTTGGTTGCCTCTAAAACACCAATATATATATAAGTATGCATTTATAAATTACATACTTATGCTATTGTATTAGTACAGTATGCACATCATAAATTCTATTCAAAAACTTTGTGAATCAGAACAAACTCACTCCAAGCCTGAATTATTTATTTTTATAAACAGCTATAGAAACCAAATGTTTTGTAAAATGCATACTTTAAAGTATGTGTAGAAAAGGGCCTACTCTTACCTGAGTTTAGAGCACTTTTTGCATGATTTTTAGAATTAACTCTTTAGTAAAGGGCAACAAAGAGCACAGACAAAGGCTGAATTAAATTCATCCAGCCCAGGCTCTGGGTGATTTCGTGCTTTTTGAGTTCTGCTCCAGAAGGGAGTGAACAAATGGTGAGTTCAATCTGTGAGCTCAGTTTTACTTTAAAAGGAGTAACAGTCACTGAAACTACATGTAATTTATTTTATTAAAATAACATAATCGAGGAACCACTGGGTAGCTGTATTTTGTCAGGTACAATAAAAGCAAAATTAAAACCCAAATCAAGAAAGAAAATAAAAAGAATAAAGTTTAAAAATATAAATAAAAGTTCTAATCTTTTCTTGCAACTCCCAAAAATGTGCACACCCTACTTGAAAACCATAGTTTTAGAAGATATATAACAAAGGTGTTTGTAAGTGTCCAGTCTGACAAATAATTTCATGTCTTAGGGTAATAATTAATAGCCTCCCTTTTCCTTTCAAAAGTGTCTTAGTTTAAACGATAGGTTTATGAGCTCCCTAATATAACCCACTTATAAAGCATGTGAATCCTGAATTAAAATTTTTAACTGAATTAAAATTTATTTATAAACAAAGTCCAGCCTCAGCAGAATCATGTAGTAGGCATGCTCAACAGGCAGTACTTGGAGAATAAAAAATCCAATGCCCTTAGACTGTTTAATACTTTACCATAGGTCCCTTATTCTATAGTCTAAAACAAAAAAGTTTCCTTTTGAAACATGTTACCTACATGACTCTTGGAAACATCTCCAGTTTTATTGCCTGCTAGAAGTTCTCAATAAAATCTACTACTGAATTCTCAAAAGCAGATGCATGTTGCTAAAGTATCACTTTAAAACTCTCTTATTTTCCTAGATTTAAAGATTTAGCCAATGACACCAATTGGAAATCACTTAAATTTCTAAATTTCAAGTACTCAAATAATGTAGTCATCATAGGAAATATGTGCCAAAAATTTAAATGTCCCATGTTACCATAAATACTATGGAATTACCAACAAACACCAGACTACAGAAGGTACAGGTTTGCTCAGTGCAGTCTCAGCTATATAAATGATATCAGCATTATCATTAATAGCATATATCAAAAAGTGCACTAGTTTGGATGCAAAACAATATGGTCAGAGTTGACTTTTTTTCAGGGCTTCAACTGATTATTCATGCCTCTTGAACAAAGTAAATGGCAATATGAAAAAATTCTTATTATTACCTTTCTGCACAGCTAATGGGATTTCTTGAAGTCTCCAGATTGACCAAGAATCAATTTTCAAGTGCATCTTCTTCTTTCTTGATTTTTGTTGTTTTAAAGCTTCTTCAGCTTCTGCACGGTCAGTTTCTAGACTTTTAATGAGATGAATGGCCTCTGATAGCAATGTTTCCATTTCCTGCTTTAATTCTGGACACTTTTCATCTTAAAATAGAAATGTGTATTCACATTTGTTAATAAATCAGCCTATAAACGAGGTGGTGGGAACATAGGTACTAGTTGTATCATTATTCTTTTTAATATTTATATGTTTAATGAGAGAATTTTAGAAAAATGAATTAGCCTTTTAAGGACAGTTTTATTATAATACAATCATAACATTAACAATAACCTTTGAAGACAGATTTTTAAGTGAACATTTTGTAAAATAATTAGAATAGAGAAATCTCAAGCAATATCTTCATGAATATTTTATCTAAAAAATGTTTTCTTCATAAGCTTTATTATAGAGCTTTATTTTTAAATTATGCTTGTGTTTCCTTTCATTCTATGACAAAAGCGAATCATAATGATTACATCAGATAAATACTGCAAATCCTCAGATGGTTCCTCGAAACAAGATACTTTGTATTCCTTATCAGAAAATAACATCCCTAGTTAGCCCTGCCAGGAATTCATTGTTTCCAAATTCCATTTATTTAGTTATAACACAAATTAACTCCTGTAATGAGAGATACTTGTGATTCCTGGTTCACAGCTCTGAAAAGATATGGTTTAATGTTAACGAAATGATTAACATGGGTATTCAATTTATCTATTTATACTAGAAACACGCAGAGAGCCTGTTATGTTCTGGGCAATACACTCTCTCCCCAGAGATAGATCAGTAAGGAAGATGGATATGGGTTCCACTCTGGTGAGATTTATACTTGTAAACAGTGACTTTTGCCAAAATGTGACATGACAAGAAGACATAAACAAACACAAAGTGTCAAGAAAGGCAAAGCCTCAAAGAGCTGAGGCTACAGGAAAAACAGTAAAACTGGTTCAAAAAAAAGGCAACTAATAGACCTCTGTTTTGTTTTGATTTGGACAATAAAGCAATAATTTTCTGCTAGAAGATAATATTACATATTGGTTATAAGTACAATCTCAGTAGTCATACAGTTTCTACTTCTAACCTAGTAAGCCTATCAAAGAAATTCAGCATGCTGCCTGAAAAGAATTTTTGAGAAACAGGTTTCTCTATTGTAATGCATAAAAATTATCTTTTATGAACTGGTCCTTTATTTGGTCTATATTTATTTGGTCTATTGTCTTCTTTTTTCATATTCTACCATATCCTGGACACTTTATATCCTTAATTGTCTGTTTTTTTTCATGACAACATATACAGTGAACACTGTGTTCTCTAGCCAACTTATGATCTATTCAGTTTCTATAAAAATATCTCAGTCTGAAAAGTATAATTAAATTAATGCCACTTAAATCACTTCTGATGCAATATAAATGTTTTACCAAAGATGTCTATCATGTTGTACAAGATATCTTTTGTACTGTTTCTATGATAGCATTCTAAAATAAATGCTGTGTTTATAACTTGAAATGTCGCCAATTCATTGTATTTAATCTCTCAATTTTTTTCTAGAATACCATCTCAATTTTACTGTTTCATACCGAGTAGGTGAGTAACCACCTACAATTTTTTTTAGCACAAACACTAATTACAATAAATCTCCCTCAACCTGATACTGTCTTATACTTTGGGATCAAATGTATGAGTTTATAATAAACATAATTGCAATTAATTTAAATGTTATTATGTCCACTAACATATTAATCTTCTCCTAGCATTTGTCATGTGAAAAATTAAGAAGTAACAAATGAGATTTTTTTCTTCAGTGTAGATATAGTGAAAAGGAAACTAAAAACAGAGCCTCACTATAAGAGACAGCTTTGAAAACAAAATATTAGTACTTTTACAAAGTCCTGAATTCTTAGTTATCTCTCATGAAAGGAAGATGTTTAACAAATTTTTGTGGTGAGGGAAGGAAGAGGTGTTTAATATAGTATTAAGAATACATTCAAATATGTTGAAGTAATTTTAACACAAATTTTATTCCAATATATAAATTACTATACATTTTATAAATTGTGACAAGATTTTAATCTTAATTTATATATATATATATTATATATAAGATATAAATATAGCAGAGCCTCCATGTCCAGTGTGATAGCCATGAATCACATGTGACCATTTACATTTAACATGTTAAAATTAAACTGAAAAATTAAATTCTCAGTCTTCCTAGCTACATTTCAAGCAGCTACTATATATGGCTAGTAGCTACTCTACTGGACGGTGGAAATAGAGAACACTTTTATACCAGAAAGTACTACTGGATAGCACTGAATTACAGTTAGCTTCTTGGGAGATGGAGAGGGATCATTATACACTCAGGACCTAGACCAGTATATCGTATAATAAATATTTGTTGAATTTTGTTGCTTAATCAAATGATAGAAGGCTCTTTCCTCCATTAGACACTCAAAAGAATTATAAAATTCTTAAAATAATTACTGTAAAAATTAAAAATATGTTAAATGAAAAGTCAATGAGCTTTTAAATATAATTTTAATTTTAATTTTAAATATAATTTCACTGATTTAAGTATGAGGTACAACTCTACCTCTCTCTTCTGGTTTAACCTCTTTCACTGGTGTAGTAACACTCCAATCTTCCTTCTGGTCTTGTGTGGATGAAGTTCTGCTCCTATATAAAGGGAAAGAGGCAATCAATTAATAAAGAACTGCTTTACTTAAAGTTTAAAGGTAGTAAAACAAATTTTAGGTGATTCTCACATTAAATTTTAAATGTTTGTGGTGAAACTTACTATACATGCTAATGCTGCTATCTAAGAGAGTAATATAGCAAAATTCTAATACATAATGGGCTTTATATTTCATGGTAAATTAACAGAAATTTAAAATTTGTTACAAATGACCTAAAAATATTTGAGGGATATTAAAGAAGTTTTGTGGGTTTTTTTTTTTTTTAAGAAAATGAACTGGTGTTCCTTAGTGTTGCTATCAGAAAAAGGGGGTTTATTGAGAATAATTTGAGAGGTATTTCTCTAACTTCAGTTTAGCAGTTTCCGGGGTACCATATAAAATACAAGGACCAAAAATGCTTTTTCAGATTGGAAATTAATAGGTTTTAGCAAAATGTCCAAATTAAAATATTATTTCTTTTCTAAAGAATTTTTCTAGGGGCGCCTGGGGTAAGCATCTGCCTTGGGCCTAGGTCTTGATCTCAGGGTCCTGGGATCCAGCCCTGTGTCAGGCTCACTCAGCGGGGAGTCTGCCTCTCCCTCTCCCTCTGCTCCTCCCCCCGCCACCCCATCCCTC